AGTGAGAATGTTGCATCATAAACCTTAGCTTTGAAACAATATGCTAAAAAGTAAGACTCGATGGTTACTTTCATGTTTTTAAGCAGTAACATCACCTCCATCAGTACAGCTGAAGAGGACTTCCATAAAAACATACAATCAAACATCTTCAGTGCCAATGTCTGAATACTTCAGAACTAAAGAAATCAATATATTCACCACATTAGGAGCAGACACCTCACCTTTCTGGAAACACTAAATTTGGCTCAGCTGATGCTAATCACTACACATGGCCAGCCTATGGTCAGCTTTCCCCTTTCTAGCCCCATTTCCACGTGATGTAACACAACAGCAGCTTCTATGCTACTTCATGAAATCAAAATTATCACAAACACACCTCAAGGAACCAAAAGACTCCTAACATGCTATTGCACTGTATTTCAATCTTTTTGGAGTGATACATTCTAAGGATATATTATGGCAACTTTTTCAAAATTATAAAACCCAGCAAGGCAGAAGCACTTACTAAACTCTTATAGGTGGTCTTGGACGATGTGACAAGGCAGCAAAAGTTGTGGCTTTTTGCACACAGGCAATAGTGTTTGCTCCCTTCTGCAAGCCTGAAGCACTTAAACACCAATTAATAAGCAGCTACAAAAAACCCCAACAACCTATAGACAGATAGATGTCCTGACATACATTTTGATCTATTACACTTCTGAGTGCTGCTGACAACACAAAGAATGACAAACTACTTGCAATTCAGAGACTTGTAGAACTATCTAAGGAACACAAGAGGCACGCATCAGTCCATAATGAGTTTTGGAACTCAACTCTTTGGCTTGAGCAGCAAAACTCTCTTGTTGAAGGTAAAAAGGTTTGTATTGCATCCTAGACAGGGAGGTAAAAAAGGGACCTTTACAGCCACTACTTTGAGGTACACAAAACTCCTGTACACTCTTTTTTTGGAGGAAAGGTAGTGAATCTGATTTCTCTCTCACACAGGTAACATGCAAGAAATGGCAGTTTCCCTATTTAGAAGAGGAAATTATGATAAGCAATAAGGTAACTGATGTGCTCAAGAGCCCATGGAAATTCTAGCAACCCTGCCTAGTGCTGTGAGCTACTGGAAATAAAATGGTACCAAGAATAATCCACTCTGTAGCCTCCTCCACGAGACAACATCCCTGCACAAGAGCTGAACTGAAAGGAAGTTCAAGAGAAGTGAATCTGGGTGAAGCTTTACTCCTGCACCTTATCCACATTCCAGACTTGGAACACAGCATGGCAAGGCTGATGAGATAACAGCTATAGGCATGCTGTGACTTCAGAGCAGTCACTGAACACCTACAAACCACACAAAACATTTCTGAAAACTTTAACAAGAATATACAACTTTGCAATTTTTCTGGCTGCCTGCGAGAGCTGATAACATTAGCAGCACATCAGGTTTCTGATAGTTTAGTTTTCACTTTAAAGTAGAAGCAGGACTTTGATACAGCCTGTGAAATCTAACAGTACTCACAGAGAACAGAGCTTTCAAGTGTTCTACCAAAACAAAAAAATAACAAAAAATAACAGAAGCTCACAGCTCATTTTAGGACAAATCATGCAGAAATGCCCCCATCCCTGGAAATTTTTTTGGCAGAAAGTATCTAAGTATCTATTCTCCACATTTCTATAAAGTTAAGAAAAATAAGAAAGAAAAATGCAAACAGTGTCAGTGTTCTATATTAAGCCTTAGAAAATATTCTGAATTCTTAGAGGTTTATGACTGCCCTATCATGATTGGAACAAACCCCATAAGCACTGCAAATTAAAACAATCCTTATTGCTGAGCTGGATAAGATGGGCATAAATGTTGAGTGAAGGTAGGTTTTGCTTTTTATAAGTAAAAAAAAAAAAGGCCTGCAACTGTTAAAAACCAAAATTCCTTCCTAATTTAGAGATTTTGGATTTCATTTATTCCTTCAGGAGTGAAAAACTGAGATATTAATAAAGTTCTGCTTAGACCATCAATCAAGTGCTTTTGCACATGGTGAAATAGCTACTGAAACAATTTGTTCTTCACTTTCTCCCCCCTCCCCCTCCCCAAATAAACCAAACAATGAAAAGTTATAAGTTCAACTAACAATATTTTTATTTGTTGTTCTTGTTGTTCTCTTTATTCATGACATCACAATTCCTCTATATGAAAAGCAGTGCTCAGGATAATAATCTTTAAAACATGCCTTGCTATTCTAAATTTAAAGATATTTCAGATAAAAAGTAGGGACAAGAAGGTAAAATGTAAAAAATGCTACAGCAAAATTTTTGTCTTCCGTGCAAAAAGCCTACAGATAATTACAGGAAAGTAACCCTTTGTGATTGTGGTTACTACAGAACTACTAGGAAATTAATGGGCACGCTGTTTATTAGTTTAACACATGAAACAGTCACACGTGTGCAATAAAGCATTTGGGGCAGCTGCAGAGATGCTAGTTCAGACATCTTAGTACAAATTTATTTGTTTCTCATTAGTAACTAAGTGGGTTAAATCAGGTCCTTGATGGATGAGTTCCTGGGAAGGACCCGTGGCCAATGTGGTACCCAAACTTGCTAGCACTAAAAGAACATCTTAAAACTTAGTGGGAATATAGCAGTTCTTAAAAAGAAAGAAAAAGAGCCAATAATGAAGAAAGGAGGCTTGAAAATAAAACTGAATAAACCACTGTGTGACTCTGCTCTTTTCTCTCCTCCTATTCTAAAACAACACTAAAAGCTAGGTCCACTCTGAGGGCCAAGCAAACTCAGATCATTTGGGTAATCAACACAAAAAGCATTTCAGATCTGCTTACTTAAACTATACACTTCAGGGAGCAAGGACTAAGTACCTAGACTGCATTATAAACGACTTTAAAGAACTTTTGCAGACCTAGAAAGGAGAAAAAACAAATTGCCTTGTGAAGCCTTAAATGCCAAGTCATCATTTTGGTAGCCAGAACAGTATGATGAGACATTTTACTCTGTAGTTTCTTTACAGTGGCTTTCAGTCCAGGCTATCTTGGAGAGTTTTTCTGAAGGCTACTGTCCTGAAAGCTAAATAGACAAAGATTTCATTTGCACTGTCCTGAGCTGTGTTTGTCATCTGGGCAGCCCGAGCATGAGCCTGCCTTTCTTGCAGGGACAGCCCGAAGGCTGCACCGCTCACAGAGCCCGAAACATCCTCTGCCAGCTGCTCTGCAAATCTGGGAGCTGGTTAAAATCAGCAGCAGCACAAAACCCCTGCTCTCAAGTAACCCCAACCACAAGTGCGAGCCTCCCTCGTTTAAGCCAACGGGACAAAGAAAATTCATCAAAACCACATCTGCAAAGATGAAAAGAACTCAACAGCAACCCCAAAACGCTCCGATTTGTATTTGCAAGCAGAAAACGGATGACAGCCACCAAAGTGAGCAAACAGCGCGGGGAGACACGGCAGCACACAGTTATCTCTTTCTGCTGGGCCCGACACGCTGTTAGCGAAGCAGTGACACGCTGGAGGGAAAAGCGATCCCCGCCGCTTTCCCGGCGCTCCCCATCCCACCCAGCGCCGGCGGAGCACAAAGAACTTTCCCAGCGCCGGGACCGCCGGGTAGGGGGGGCCGGGGGACGGCCTCAGCCCCCCGGGGAAGGCTCGGGACCCCCGCCCGCAGCTCCACACCTGCGGGGCCGGAGGCTCCGGGGATGGGCCCCGCTACACGGCGGGCCCAGCGCGGCTCGCCCGTGCTCTCGGTGCATGGGCGCAGCGCCGGATCCGCGCGGGCCGCCGCGCTGCCCTCCCGCCCCCCGCTCCCCGCCGCCCCGTCCCGCCCGGCCCCGCCGCTCCCCCGGCCCCGCGCCCCGGGAGCGCATCCCCGCCCCGCCGCCCCCTCCCCACTCACAGCGTCCGGGGCTGCCCGTCGTCTTCCATGATGGTGGGCGAGCGCCGCTCTCCGCAGCCGCGCCCGGGGGCAGCGCCGGAGGGGCTGGGCGGCGCACGGAGGCGAAGGGAAGGTGAGGAGGGTGCGGGCGGCCCCGGCTCCCCCCGCTCCGCGTCGCCCCCGCGCCAGGTCCCGCGGCCGCAGATCCCGAGCGGGAGAGGGAAGCGGCACCACAAAATGGCGGCCGCCACCAGACGCTCAGGAAGCCGCGCTCTGCGCAGGCGCCGCCCCGCGCGCTCCCGGAGCCGCTTCTCCTTCCAGGCCCCGCGGGGTGAGATGGGGATGGTAGGCACGGCCGGGCACCGCGCGGCGGGGCCTCGCAGGCTGCTGGGAATTGTAGTTCGCCTGGCTGCGCACAGAACGGCGGTACCGCAGGGGGAGAACTACAATTCCCGGCATGCCCGGCGGCAGAGGAGCCGCGGGGGCGCGCCCGGGCCGCCGCGATTGGCCGCCGGCAGCCCGGGAAGATTCGCTTCATCCCCATCCCGGTGCCGGTCCCGGTGCCGGTCCCGTCCCCAATCCCAGCTCCAGCCCCGGCCCCACGCAGCGGGACGGGGGTGGGACCAGGTGGTTTGTTAAGGTCCCTGCCAGCCCAAAGCGCTCTGATGGCGCGATTCCAAATAATTGCGATTTAATGTGGCACATACGTGTGTGTGTGTGCCACCACAGGCTGGCTGTGCATGAGCACCGCCTCAGCTCAGTGGGAAGATGAAGAGATGTGTGATGCTTTGGGGGCCCACCGAGAGAGCCAATTTAGGAATTGTCAGTGGGAAATGGATCAGGTTGCTTTAGTGTTGTTTTAGAATAGGAGGAGGGACAGAGCAGAGTCACACAGTAGTTTATTCAGTTTTATTTTCAAGCCTCCTTTTTCATTATTGGCTCTTTTTCTTTCTTTTTAAGAACTGCTATATTCCCACTAAGTTTTAAGATGTTCTTTTAGTGCTAGCAAGTTTGGGTACCACATTGGCCATGGGTCCTTCCCAGGAACACATCCATCAAGGACCTGATTTAACCCACTTAGTTACTAATGAGAAACAAATAAATTTGTACTAAGATGTCTGAACTAGCATCTCTGCATCTGCCCCAAATGGTTTATTGCACACGTGTGACTGTTTCATGTGTTAAACTAATAAACAGCGTGCCCATTAATTTCCTAGTAGTTCTGTAGTAACCACAATCACAAAGGGTTACTTTCCTGTAATTATCTGTAGGCTTTTTGCATGGAAGACAAAAATTTTGCTGTAGCACTTTTTACATTTTACCTTCTAGTCCCTATTTTTTTATCTGAAATATCTTTAAATTTAGAATAGGAAGGCATGTTTTAAAGATTATTATCCTGAGCACTGCTTTTCATATAGAGCAGTTGTCATCTCATGAATAAAACTCACTGTCCCACAAGCTCTGGACAGGCAGAGGATGAGCACCCTCACATGCAGCTCCTTCAGAACAATCACAGCACTCTCATTCTGGGAAAAAATCCATTTGTACACATAGTGAATATTCAAGTACTCTTAAATCCCCCCCACCCCATTCCAAAATAGTAATACCACAGAGAAAACTGCTTATATAGTTATCAAAGTCAGTATTTTTGTGCCTGCTGCTCTCACAGTAGTGTTTTCATCTCTTTAATTCAAACATGCAAGACTGTTGCCAGGCACACATTTGTGGTAGAAGTTTTTCTAGCACATGGATGCAGAGAGAGGTGGCTTAAGTAACTCTTAAAAATGTATTAAAACCAAAGCAGTTTGGATATGTAAGGAATTAGTGGGGTACTCTAAGCATGGATTTTGAATAGCCAGAGATCTGCAGGTAAGGAATCTATGTCCAGCAGCCATCAAAGACTTTTTTGTTTCACACGTTTGGTCTACAGGCAGTAAATGCCAGGAATTCTTGGAGTGTTGTGACATTTTCCAGTGCCTGCAGCCCCAGGAATGATGCAGCAGGACTGGTGGGATACAGAATGGAGTCGTGGCACCCAGCACTGAGGATGTGCAGCACTGCCTGAACTGCCAAGTCCCTGCCAATGTGTTTTTGTCTAATGTAGCAATAAGAAAAAAAAAAATAAACTAAAGTTTGTTTCAGTTTCAGAGATATTCAAAATCCCTGCAAAAAGTGGGTATAAATATATAAATTGCTTTATAAAGATAAAGCAATTATACACTGACTGAGTCTTCTCCAAGCATGAGCTGAGGGTGAAGTTTTTCGGCTGGGTTTAGGATTTGCAGTATTCAGAGTGTTGGACAGCACTGATCTCAGGAAAAATTCTCTGGGGAATAAAAACTCCACTGTGCAACTATGTTTTCCCACTAACCAGTACCTCTTTTCACATTTGTTAACCCAGGCAACACGAGATTAGGAAAAGGTAAAATCTGCTTCTCCTGTTGTGAGAGGGAGACCCATGTGGTGGATGAGGAAAGGCTGTGAACGTGTCTGACTGGAATTTAGGAAAGAATTTAACACCATTTTCCACAGCATCCTCCTGGAGGAACTGGCTGTCCATGGCTTGGATAGGGGCTCTGTTTGCTGGGTAAAAATCTGGTTGGATGGCTGAGCCCAAAGAGTTGCCCAGATGCTACAACAACATTACAGTTTTCACTGAGTATTGACTCCAGCAAAGGAATTTTTTGGACTTGCCCCTTGATTTCTCTCTGTCAGAGCAGCCATTCTACTGGGAATTGTTAGCCTGCATACCTTATTCTTAATTCCAAGTCTGACAGCTCTGCTGTGGCAGTGAAATCTTGCAGAGATGGTTTGCTGGCTGGTCTTCACCTCAGATCTAAAATCAAAGCACTTCTAATTCTTTTTTTCCCCTACAGAACCCACATTTTACATATTTATGAAGAAAATCAAGTCACAAGAAAGGTTTGAGTTCCTAGTCATTACCTGAGGATACTGTAGGTCCACCTGGGAGGTAGCACAAGCAATGTGGAATTAGGAACAGGGATGCCTTGGGAGGCAGAAGCCAGTGCTGCCTCTGGCACTGCTGCTTCCCCAGAAGGGAGGAGGAAGGGATGGGGCAGGAGGGGATCTGGGAGAGCATCTTTGAGGAGCTGTCCTCACCCAGCAGAGACACTGCAGGATGTGGGACAGTGAGGTCAGAGCCCTGATGGGAAGCAGGCAGAAGGAAACTAGACTTAAATACATTTTCTTGCTCTTTATCATCTTTACTTCAATAGCAAGAGGGTTAGTCTTGCTATCCAGCCTCTTTTAAATCTAATTACTTTGATTTTTTTCTTTCTTTACAGATCAAATTATCCTTCTGAAAAACAGCAGGTGCAGTGAGACTTAAAATAACTCTTCAAATATGGACGATTTCAGACATGTAACAGAAATTCCTGGGGCAAAATTTGGAGATCTCCTCACAGCTGCTACCCAGCCCTTGGTCAGACTGGTCAGATTCCTGTGAGCTAACTGGGACATAGCACAGAATTATGGAATGCAACCAGAAAAGGAGGCTGAATTTAAACCATGTCTTGAAAACATGCTTTCCACTCCTGACTTTGATTTCTTTTCTTTATTTTATATATTTATTCTCGCCCCAAAACCTAATGCTTCATCTAAATGGAATGTCTTTAGTTTTACCTGACTTAGCTGGGAAGCTGACATTTACAAGGAGACAGGGTTTATAGTCTGAGCTATTTGAATTTTGCAATACAGACACAGCCAAAGCTCTTCCCTCACAGAAAACAGGTAGGAAACCAGACCTAGGATAGGATGGGAGCTGAGCAAAGTGAAATAATTAAATAATAATTCATAAGGAAACAGAAAAGGAATTATCAAATAACTAAAACTTCTAAAAATCAGAAAACATGAAGAAGGATCAGTTTCCTGCATCAAAATACTCTTTTATTTTTATATCAGTTACCTTTTACTAAGAGGAAGAAATCTTACCTGTAGGTCAAAACTGGAAGAGTCATTTCTGTTTTTTCATAGTTCATCAAGTCCATCAACTCTTCTAAAAATCTGGTTGTAAAAATTGACAGCAACGAAAAAAAAACCAAAAAAAAACCAAGAAAAAGCAAATTTCATTACAAATTTATGTTTCAAGGGAACATCCTTTTTCTTAAAATTTCACCTAATTTCTCTGAGCTGAAAGTTTCTCATGTGGAAGTATAACTTAATCAGAAAGCATCTAGAGCCTTTACACGTGGAAAGGTCATTCCACCAAAAATAAACATAAAGATGCTGCCAGTCTACTGGAAGTTTAGTTCAAATGCCATCCAGAATTTGTCATCTGTCAGGTTCCTTGTCTGCAGCAAGAAAAGACACATGTATTCTAAACTACAAGAAAACTTTTTGTGGTGTCACACTGCTCCTATTTGATTATAGTCTAAACTCTGAAAAAGCACTGGATGGGATCCCAGAGAGCCAGCAGCAGAAAATGTGTCTGGCAAAACCAGGGAGTTAAATACACAGACAAACTGATGCAGTGTTGCTTTCCTGAGGTTCACAAAAAGAAACTTTGAAGGCTGACCTCTGTCTTAACTGGAGCTGCTTCAAAAAGCCAGAAACTTCACAGCATCTTTATGTGAAACTGAAGAAAAATATTCCAAGAAAACAAGACTCCCTGGATATCTTAACAGGAGATATCTGCTTATCACAATTGCCCCAAACTTTGATTCTTGCAGCTCAGGAGTTTGTTATACCAAAACCATGAAGCAGAACTGTATAAGACATGTCTTTATTTGACTGCTTAGAAGCAAAAGAGATGTTGTTCCAAACCTATTTGTTTTTAAAATGTATTTCTGTGCATTATGCATACTTCATAATCACTCAACACCTTTGTTTAATTATGCTAAATAATGGTGAACAAGAACATTCCCATTGATTGAACATTAAAACATAATTCACTGACACATAAATGCACCATATTACAAATGCACAACCTTCCTTGCACAACCTCTTACAAAGATTTTATTTCTGAGACTTTAACCCTGGAACAAGCAAAAGGGGGAACAATGCACACAGATAAATTGTAAAAACATGGTGGGGATTCTGTGCAAAAGTCACCTGGAATTCTTTGACTAGTGAGGCTGGAAACCTGAATTTTTCTTCATGTATTTTCTTTTGGGAAACTTCTGGCTGTATTCATGTTAGAGAGGAAAGAAAGTTATGTAGGATATTGTTGTCTAGACACTACTAGATCACAGCATCCCACACTGTGTGCTCAGTACAAGGGCTCAGTCATGCAAGATTCTTTTAATCTGTTTATTGCTCTGCTGAGTCTTGCTGCCTGCTTGATATTACTTCAGACTGCTCAGCTCCCTCTCTTGCAAGTTCTTCCTGGATGTTCAGACCTGGCATTGCTCCCAGTGAAGATGTGGAGCTAAAAACCCGTGGTGAAATACAGAGGACTTCAGTCCCAGAACTGGGTTCTGCTCCTGTTGATTAAAGCAGCAGAGAGTAAAGGCTTAAAATAGAATTCTCAAGGCAAAAATTTGCACCTAATGCAGGATGGGCTTCAGGAAACACAGACATGGAGCCAGTAAAATTCTCAGACAAAAGACAAAAAAAAACACACATGCAGTGATCTTGTGGTATAGAACTGAACTAGGCTGCAAGAAATAAAGGTTAAAGGCTGTGATGTGGGTAAGAGCCACAGGACTTGAACCACAATCCAGTGCCTGCCCTAAGCATGGGGTTATTCTGGGATGATATTTAAATTTTTCTACACAATAGCAAAAAAAGAAAAGATTTTTCCTTCTCAGTGAAGATCACTGACAATTAAGAAATCTCCAAAGATTTTCTTTGGATTGAAGAAGAAACCAGGGCAGCACTCTGCTGCTTCTCAGACTGCTCTGGCTCTCTCACCTTGCCAAGGCAGACTATTTTGGCAACTTGGGATGTGCTGAAGAGTGGAAGTGATCTGCTCCATTTAACTGCCAGGCCACATTCCCAGGGAACACAAGGAGGGCTGTGCTGTCCCAAAGCTTAGCAAAGATCTTTCCATGCCAGTATAAACCTCTAGAAATCAGATCCACTGTTTTTGTGTTTTTCACCACCTGTATTTTTTTCCTAATAGAGTTGATACTTAAACCACAGCGTAGATAATGTTCAGCCAAAGAAAAAACAAAACAAAACAAAACAAAACCACCAAAAAAAAGAAAAAAAAACACCAAAAAAAAAAAAACCACAACAAAATATGAGACTTTAGAAAAATAGGAGAAAATTTGCAATATGCCCTTAGAACAAAAATCTAGTTTTCCAGTGCCCTGGACTATTTAGAAATATAAACAGTGGGAAAGTAAAACAGCTTTGTTCCGGGTAAAATCAGCCAAAGATTTAAAAAAATCCTTATAGGTACTACAGACCAAATTACAGTTCTGTAAACACAGATAAGCATCACTTAATCTTCTGTTTCAGAAAATTGATTAAATTTGGAAAGTATTTCCCTGCAGCTGCTCTGAACTCCAGGGTTTATGCATTATCCAGGTTTGTCTTCCTCTGAATCCGTGGCGATGCAGTCAGGACTCAGCCCCTGGAGCAGCCCCTGCAGCAGAAGGGGAGTCCCCAGCTTCCTGCCCCTCTGCCCTCTCAGGTGACCCTCGAGCAAGGATGGCAGAAAATAAAATGTGATCAGGAGCTGCAGATTGCAGTTTTCAGTTCTAATTTAAGAAGGAAGTTAGTGGCAGTCCAGTTTGACCTGCAGGTTTTCCCTCTGTGGCCCTGCTGCAGGAACCCCTGAGCCATCCAATCCAACATAAACCTTTACTGCCTGAACACCAGTCAGAGCCACTGCTAGAGATGGGATTTTTACTCAACTCTGTTAGCAAGGGAATTAGAGGAAAATTATTACAATAAGTAATCTTTTATAAATGCGTCCTCTGGCTGTTGTTTTGTTTTTATCAGGAGTACGCAGAGTAGGATTTTCCACTTGGATTTCTTTACTGCTGAAGACTATATTAAAATTCACCATGGCATAACTCACTTTTGCAGGAGGATACCTGCAAGCATGGTTTTGTTTATAACTCCATCTCCTGAAGGTTATTGTGCCAGTGAAGATTTGTCCTGACTTCTTGGCTGGTTCAAATTTCAGCAGAGGCACAGTGATATTCCCCATTAAAGGAATCTGTGGGTTCTGTGCCACCACAGGGTTTAAGTTTTCAGATTTTAGTTTTAGTTTTTGTTTTTTCTGGCTGGTTTGCAGCATTGAGTGGAAAGGTAAATGGCTCCATGGATAAGACAGCTGATGCTCTGAGGAGTAACACTGTCCAGAAACCCTCCTCTCACCTCTGCCCATCCTGCTGATCCAGCTGTCCTGTGTGATGGATTTCCTAGGTAGGCAAACAGTAATGATGGCACTGCAGCTGTGGGATATCTTTGGAGGGGGCCTGGGGTGAGAGCTCAGCAGGAAACAGCTCCAGGAGAAAGGAGGGGAGGCATTAATGCTCCTTCCAAGCCTTGTCACTGCTCTTATCAGCGAGCCAGCCTTGAGCAGCCAACCACACTCTGAAGAAGTGGAGGGGTTGCATTCCTGGCACTGACCGGAGAGCTCTTTGTATGGCTAGGAAATGCTAGCACTTCCAGAGCTGAATTCCCAGGCAGACGCTGCTCCAAGGAGAGCCAGAAGGAGCAGAGAATAAAGGACATGCATTTGTTTCTTTCTTTTCAGTCTGTTGCCTCCTTTGAGACTCCATTGTGCCAGGGAGAGAGCCAGAGATGCTATCAGCTCTGCATCTGCTTCTTCAATTCAAGGGAATAAAAATATTTGGAAGGGATGGTTAGGGACACAGCACCAATATAATTAAATCAGCTGCAGTACTCACAGAAACTGGAGAAATACTTCTGCCTTTACATGTGCAATATTCTGCTCATAAAAGGATCGATGTGCTCATGAAAGAGGGTTTTTAAACTCCCTTTTCAGTTGTTTTTTCCAAACTCTGTACTGTTTCTGCTATTGGGCACCCTCAGGTCTGGAAACGATTCTGTTTTGGACCAAGATTTGCCAGTAAACTTTGGAAAAATGACTCAGATGTTCCCAAGCACATTTGGAGCGTGGCAGCCCGGAGTACAGCAGGGCAGATTATCCACTAGGTGGGAGCCTCTCAATTCTAATGGGTGCTGGCCACTGTGGCAATGAAAGCACCGGCTCAGATCGACTCTCCTTCATCCTCCTGATGTCCAAGGAAGACAAAGTTCTGTTCCCTGGTTAGACCCAGACACTCCTAAACCAAAGAGCTGCCTCCTTACGCTTCTGTCTGACTGACACTGGAAGAACAGAGAATGAGCAGCCAATAATGCCTATTTTGGAAATATTAATTCACTTTGCATGTGCCATATCATGACATATTAAGAGAATGAGTAGCTCTAAACATTCAAGTTGTCTTATGCTGCCTATGCTTGGAATTGAATTTTGCTTTTGTTGCATACAGGTCACAGAAATTAAAGCTGGTTTTGCAGTGTTCACAGCCAGATTTGCTCCCTGGTTTATAACAAATTCATTCTAGGTGGAAATAAAGAGGGAAAAAAAAGTAAAAATTGTGCTGGGATTAGCTCCTGCAATCTTTTTCAAAAAATCTGAAATTTTGAAATCAGAGTATGTGCTTTGTGAATGCAGAGCTTTAGTGTAGCCGCAGTGTGGTTCCAACACGTACATTTAAAAAGCTTTTCTCCATTTAAACAGTACAATTAGCACTCGAATTTCTTATTTATACTTTGAATTTTCTATTAAAGTTCATAGGAAATATATTTATCTATCAAATGACTTGCCAGTTACTGTGACTCCAACAAGCAGATGGCATGATCAAGCTCTAAGAGCCAAGCAATGTCAGCACCATGCAGCAGTCAGAGTGAGATCAGACCATTTCTGGATGGCTTCATTCACCTACTTTTGTTCTCCACTTCACCACCAGTTATACTAAATTGTGTACCAAACACTGGAAATCAAGTCTGAAGTGGTCTGTAGCAGAAGTGGCCGATTAGTACAAGATTAGCAATCACTTTGCATCTTAAATTTTCCTAAAGGCAGGCCCCAATTGTATCAGTGGCCCAACAAACAGTTCCACGATTCTGAATAAACTATGAAGCCAAACATCTGTACATCACTGGTTACAGTAATTCATAAGTGGGACCTTTTTGCTTGTAGCTTAAAGGGTTCATACACCTGGAGCTGGATATTCAAAATACAATCAGTGAAGAACTGAGTTACTCAGTGATACTCTGCATGAAACATCAAGAGATGGAAATCACGCAGGTCAAATTCATCATG